CCTGATACCTCAGCCACTAGACCACCGTGGCGGGGCAAGCATTGATCGGTTGAGAATAAATAATATTATATCGTATACCCATGATGTGCTTAATTTAGGAATTTTAAATGTAGAAACAGGTTTAATGCTTGTTAGAGCTATAGTATCAAGTGTATCTGCTACATTTTATTTTGTGGGTAACTGACTTGACGAGCGCTATACAACGGCTTACACAAAGCATGTCACTCGGTAACATGCAACATCATGTTCCATACATGCATGTATAAATAGCGACTCTGGCAAAATTATCGAGTCAATATTATGCCAGCACCAACACTACCAGAGTATACATTGACCACCGGTGACACCAAGGCACTTGAAAAGAGATATAGGGCTCCCTCCCTGAAGAAGTTTGAAAAGTAAGACAGCTATTTGATGATGCATAATAAGGGGAAAAAAGCGAGAGAATTTTCGGAAACCATCATTCGAACCAAGGACGTTCCTGTAACGAGCGGAATGCTTCAAGACGACACCTCGTAACATCCATGGAGAGCACGTTTGTTAGACTGCTTTTGCAGCTTCGCTCACCCAGGACAGAGTTAATCGGATATCGCTGGCGAGGTTTCGTTTTACAGTGGACATAATATTGGAGGCTGCTGATGATGATGACAATGACAATGATTCGCAGAGTGGCCTCGTCATAGAATGCCGTCGTTGATGTCGCGGGCGTCGTTGTCGCTGGTCCTTAGTGAAATCTTTGGACAGCAGCTTGTTCTCGGCGTTTTTATGAAGGTGGCTTTGCTAACACCCCCTCTCTCCTCCCAGCCTCCTCTAAAGCCTGTTCAAGGCCTGTTGAGTAAACAGCGGAACTGGCGAGCAAACGTATGCAAATCTAGTCTTTTCTTCATCATCTTTTTCTTTCTTTAATCTATTTTTTATCACTTTCCATATTGCCCTCTATCATCCGTTCCCCCTCCTGACACTCACATCCCTCTTCTTCGCCCTTGCTTCTCACTCCCATACATCGCAATGCTATAGTGAACATGGCTATGCTTCGGTTACCCTTATCTCTTCTCTTTTTCTTCCTCTTCACCTTCACATCAGCCCTGATCACTCTCACTTCGCTTTCCCACTTGCCCACCCCTTTGCACGGTGATGCTTTGCTGGAGCTGCTTGGCACATACCCGCTTTCTGTGGTGCATACCCGTCGAGTTTTGTGTGGATACCAACTACCAGCTTAGACAGTTCCCCTGATAATAAACAACGGTGTGCGTCTCCGATATCAGAGATAGTGGAGATCGGTACATCACCAAATATTCGAGGGCCACTTTCAATTGCGACGAACGTCTTTGTGAAAATCGGGTACTTTGAGCATTTCTATCTATCTATCTATCTATCAATCTATCTATCTATTTATCTATCTATCTATCTATCTATCTATCTATCTATCTTTGCACTTTCGTGATCACCCCATTAGCTTGTAGTAAACCAAAATTAGTACGGGATGGTAAGATGCCTTCACGAATATTAACTCGCTGGTCATGACATGAGTATATTGACGATTTCGTCACGTACGCTGTCAAACGCTTTCTTCCAGACATGTGTGGCACATACCCGTATACCACGGGCCACGGTATGCGCGTAACACTCACAGGTGATTGACAGTTTATAACTATCTGAGAACTGCGAGAACCGAAAATGGCTATTTTAACGCAAAAACGTTAATAAAAGAGAATGCCATTGGCAGCGTTCACCCGATGAATGCAACGAATAAATGCCAGGGTTACAGGAGAGATTTAACCCCAAGCATTCTGCGTAGCAATCAGGTATTCTTGCACAGAGCCACGACAGGTCTCGGAGCTGCTTTTGAAAAGGACCCCAATGATCGTGAAACGTCAATCGGTGACAGTGCTGGCTATACAACTTTATAAACATTCCATATGTACTCCTGTGGTATAGCCGTCACGTCAGGTTAGCGCCAATCGTAGCTAAGCGCCACCCACTGAAGTTGACTTATATAGCACTGCGAAAGGCTACCATTCTCACGAGCAAAAGCGCTACATTTAGGCTCTAATGAATTTCTGGCGTTTATAATATCCATGATGCTCCATAAGGTAACTGCGCAAGTATACGACAGAGGCACTAAAGGAGAGAAAAAGTACATAGAAGCGTATTTCCGTCGGCTTTTTGCAAAGTTACATTATGGATCAATAACAACTTGCCCAACTTACCATTTTTCTGAAATTCATGTTGCTGTTGGCATCGTTACGCAAGTGTAAGCAACTGCTTACATATAAAACATATGCGACTGTTCAACGTACATATGGGCGTACAACATTCTTACATAGCTTTAGCGTGATGTTTTTCTCATTAAAAAAATCACAACACAGTCATCTTGCCTCCGCATGCTTCGCAAAACATCGATTCCCGTGCTACGCGGAATCCGCCCAATTTTTCGCACGTCATAGCGTTTCAGAGCGAGTTTCGAAGAAATCACAGCGTAACGTCAGCGTTGTTGGCTTTGAGTGAAAACTAAGCGTTGCCCATGAGCAGAAGTTCCTGACAGATGCAAATAAATAAATAATAAACAATTGGAGTACCCTTGACTTGCGCCTTTAAGAGTGAATTGCGATAGCATGAATCAGTCCTCACACGCCTGGCCTTCTATTCTGCTACGCTTCTCGGTGCATTATTCAAATGCAGGTCGTAAGGAAACGATTGCCTGTGCATGTATCATTGCGGTTTCAAAATATCATTGAATGCCTGTTACAAGCACAGTTGATAAGTTTCCGCCATAGTCATTTATTTTGCGAATCGGCGCAGGGCTCACTGCTCGTCCGTAGGGCAACACGCGAACCGAAGCAGCTGTTCACCTTATTAATGGTTCTGCTGCTGATTATGAATAAATTATTCCCAAATCTTTGAATTGAATGGACCTCTAAAAACACCCACTCATTGCCAAATTTACATTTTTTTTACGCCTGACGTGATTTTATATGCGCTTCTGCAGCCACGGGAACTGCTTTATTTCATGACATTTGTATAGTGTTTCTTCCCAAAATTGTGATCAACAGATATAGTGGATATGTAACAGAACACCTGCTAGCTTCGTAGACAGCCTTGGTTCTATCCTCGCTTTGACCCGGAAAGTTGTTGTATTTCATTTGGGAACCCCCCCCCCTTTTTTTTTTCTTTTTGGTCATGGACAAGATTTTTCACTCACAACCAACGACGCCAACGCTGACGGAAACTGCGCAACGCGCTCTTCGATGCTATTGCATTACCTACTTCGAACCAAGTGGAATCGAAGCCAGGCCCTCTCCATGGAAAACTGGCGTTGTATAACACAAAGTCACGGAATTGCTTGGAATGGATTCCGAAAAAGGCAACTCTGTACGAATATTATATAATGGCAGGATCCAACTTAACGCATGTTTCCCGTGAAAAAAAAAAGCGTAGAGCCATGCCATGCGCCAAGATATGTGACTACCCCAACGAGTGAGGGGTTTAAATTTCCACTCATAACCAGGTGCTCCAAATTATTAATTATAATCAGCAGCACAGCATCCACCGAAGTGAGCAGCAGTGTATAAGTTCACGTGTTTGTTTGCGGGCGCGTAATAGCTCATTCGCAAAGTAAATATTACGACGTAGTGGGCAATTCACAGCTGTACTTGCAGTAGACATTGCAGGATAGTCTACTAACTGCCTCTATTACTCGCCCAGACGTTTCTTTCCTTGCAGCCTGTTTGAGGTGGCTACTCAGAAGAGACGCGAGGCTGCCGATTGAGAAGGCAATGTGAACGAGTTTCCAGTTACGCTACCAGGTACTACTTTTGAGGCGAAGCCCAAGCATCAACCTGCCTTTTAACACTTATGTTAATATTGACTAACACCTATGATAAATGTATCGTACAATCGTAAATTATTTGGCCGAAATCACTCCGGTGCTTCACTGGTGCTGCAAAAAATACTCTAGAATACGCATGTCGATTGCATCATTCTGAAGGTTGCCCCAGTGCATTTTGTTGGCACATGAGAAGGTGAACTAGGTCCAGTGTTTTATTAGAGCCAGTGAATCCCGAATGAAATTTAGTTGCACGTTGACGCGCGAGTTGTAGCAGGAATCACTGTGAGCTGGTGTGAAGGACAAAGTGCCATAGTAATCTTGTCGAGGCAAACTTCAAGGCGATTAGTTTTTCTCCTTAATAATATAGTGTAGACATTTCTTTAAATGCCAGGAATTCTATGAAGTTTCACACCCCCCATGGCTGTGCTGATGTTGGCCTGTAGAATTCAGTCACTGTTATATTTTGTGCGGGTGCAGAATTAAAGTTGGATTACATAAGATCCGCATCTTAGATATGTGAATCCTGTGTATGCGCACACTTCGCACAGAACAATATCCGTAGAATAGATTCATTGTGTATCTATATGGCTCAAAGAATTCGAGCTTTTTCTGAAAAACACCGGAGTGCTGAATTCGCTTAAACAAGTGCGCTTTGTAATCCCTCAAAAAGTAAGTGGTCTGCTCCAAATAATTAATCTCGACGGACGCCCCGGCCACCCAATCGTAGCCGCTGTCTTCGTTTTTCGAGTTCCCGTGCCCCGGAGACCATTTGCTAAAATGTGCGCACGAAGAGACATCGGAAAGCAATTTTCCAAAGCCACGCGGCTACGGTTTCCAAGTGGCCGACTGGCCGCACTATTGACATGCAAAGAATCGGGATCCAGCCTGGGACGCGCGTGTGCTAGGTATGCATAATGAGCACGAGCCTTTGAAAGTTTTCACCCTGCTCTCGCGGGTTTGAGATCAAAATGACTAGGAAGGAAACGGAAGGGCTGCGTATTCTGAACGGCGAAAAAGAGTACACTTTTTTCTATACTGCAATAACCATATGAAAGCAGCAAGAAGGCATATTGGCAGCGTCAAGGTCGCAACAAAGGAGTTTAGTAGGTCACCCGAGACTCGGGTGGCACTGTGTGCACATGTGGGGGAAAATTGAGGAAGATGTGAAAAATTGCGGGTGCCAAATTTTTTATTGCACAGTCTGGTCCAAGGCATCGGGGTCGTTATGTTGACAGGTTAGAGCCCTCCTCTCTCGTCGTGCTAGGCAGAGAGCCGCCTGCGAATAAGAGAGTTTACCGGCTCATCAAACGTTGACCGCTACCGTCAGGTACCTAGAGCTAGACCTTTGGTGTGTTGGTGTACTGGTGGTTAGATGAACCGACAAATTTGGCTAGCTAGTAGGCATTCACAGTTACAAAGCGGCACCGCGAAGCAGCATGAAAACACGACGAAGCACATGCAACAAAAGCACCTAACTCTCAACTGAAAACTTTTATTCACATGCGCAGAACACAGGAGACACACACATACACATTGTATATGCATAGCATAGGACGCGTCTGCTCTCCATCAGTGTATAATCCTCGTGTGTCCTCCTAAATTCCCTGAGCATTATTACTTCCTGTAATAACGAATAGCACAGCCAGTCTCGCCTCACTAGATGAAGTTATAGTTTTAAACGTAGCCAAGTAGAGATACCAATGGCGGCTTGTTAGGCCCCAGAGATTCTTAGCACTCTCCAAAGCGTCGCAGGTATGACCACTGCCTTGGTCAGTTGGTTGCTTCAGCCGCTGGGGACTGAAGGCCGAGGGTTAATCGGTGTGTTTGGGGGGGGGGGGGGGGATTTAGGAGGATACATGGGCTTTAATACACTGATGGAGAGTGGACACGTGGCTTTGTTGGTAGAAGAGTACTAGGGGTAGGTTCCTTATCCATGAAAATATGTCTGGAAACATTAAATACTATACCACTAGTGAAAGAGCGGCAGGGCTGGGCAAAGATACTTTGAAATTGCATCGCGATATGATACGAGATACTATATTATATATTATAGTATATTATAGGGCAGGTTAAATTGTATCCGATATGATACTTGCCAATTATATCTAAAGATACTTCGTTATCCACGCAAGTTTGTTCTTATAGGTCTACACAATCAAATAACGAACGCACATGCACAAAAACGACGGCTTGAAATTTTCTGCAATGTGCCGAATTTCATTTCATTGAAATGTTTATTGGTAACTCAAAACTTTTGTTCCAAAGTAAAAGTTTTCTTCCGAAGAACTAAATATGGTTTGTTTTAGCTGGATAACAGGACAGCTCTGTATACACTTCGCTGACAGCGGTTCTTGCTGGTCATTTCTGTAATAGATAGGAGTCACTCCTGAGCTTTCCGACGAGCTAGCTCGCCGGCAAGCTCAGGAGTGACTCCTATCTATGTCCATAAAAGACGATTTTGCAATACTGAATCACATGTGTACAGCAGAAACAACGCTGGTAGAAACATTTTGTGGAACATTGTGTATATATGCCTACGTAGAGCCCATAAAGCTGCCATTACTTTTCTTATTCTTCTTAGCTGCCAGCGTTACCCGTTCGTTGTCTATATGCTCACAAACATGACATCGATTTTCTTGAATTGCACCTCAGAAACGCCTCCGACCTATTGTATTGTCTCGGTGTGGTGACTACGAAAAAAGAGGCAGTCCCTCTGGTGGAAATGAAACCCCCTAATGAGCTAACCAATTCGCAGAAAACTGATTCAAAGTATAAGCAAATCGCCTTGTACTCTGGTAGCAACAATAAGAGAAGTCGGCTTTCGGTAATCTCATTATCGGCAGAACACTTGGTGTATCTACACGGCAGCGATCGCACAATCCAGCGTTGTGGCTGGTGCACGCGTAAGCTCGCGGATCAACAGGAGTATGCGTACTGCGCGTAATCTGAACAATAATTTTGTCGAGTTTTTTACGTCCTTAAGTTACGATACGATTAAGAGAGATGCAGAAGCGGAGGCCTCCGAAAATTTTGACCATGCATGTATATGGTCAAATTTAAGTACATGCACCTGTAGCCTTTCACCTCCATCGACATGCGGCAGCTGCAGCATCATTTGCGCGTAATCTTGGCAGCACAATCTCGGACAATCTCGAAGACTGCGAAACATTGAGGGTGACTTGCGCTCAGTGGTCATAAGTTTTTTTTTTTTTTGTGACTTAGACCCTGTCACGGCAAAATGAAAGAAAATAGTGCGTGGCAGCAGAGTTGCACAAATCGTCTCGGGGCAACGCCGCGATTTGCGCTACTGCCGCTTATAGCTTCAATCACCGGGCAATTAGTAGTAGTAAAAGAAACATAAAGAGTACTAATACAGCAAAACAAATATAGCTAAAATAGAAAATTATTGTTTCAAGAACTCATGGTCAATAAATTGAGATATACGATATAGGTGGCAATCCTAACAGCTACGTCAATTGAGCATGAAGTATCGTCAACTTACCAGTTAAGGTAACGCAATAAAAAAGCTAGTCCCTAAGGAAAATTGAAATGGCTCGTTGGGACGTTCATTAAAAACAGATCAATTTACATACCAATGTTTCTAAGATCTCTTTTCTAATAATTTTAAGCTTCTAACTATTCCCAATATTAGGATGCCGACTAAACTTGGACGTTTTACCAAGCAGTAAGCAGAATTTTTGGTGCTGTATACTCAAAGCACGCCCCAATGTTTGTTTCCCAAATCACTTTTGCGGAAGAAATAAAGTGAATATAAATGTGTAAGTAGTAGAAAAAATAAAGCAGTGGACTTGGACAATACCTATTGGCGAAACTAAAAATGGACTAGACTTCATTTTGTGAGCAAACTTGGGCATTGTACAGGGTGTCAAAATAGTTGGCAAGATCCGATACAGTGGCCGTAGAATTCGAGACTGTAAGGTCTCGAATTTGTCTGGGCTTGAGAAAAGAACCACAGAAACAGACGAAAGAAGTCGAATAATTAGCTAGCGCTGAGAGAGAAAGTACAGGAACTCTGAATCTTGGTTTAGAATAGATTCGAAGCTCTAACGAAGTAAACCATCGTCAGAGTTGACGCAATGACCGATATTCTGACTAGAATAATTAAGGAGTGTGCATTGATTGATTGATATGTGGAATTTAACGTCCCTAAACCACCATATGATTATGGGAGACGCCGTAGTGGAGGGCTCCGGAAATTTCGACTACCTGTGGTTCTTTAACGTGCACCCAAATCTGAGCACACGGGCCTACAGCGTCATCGCCTCCATCGGAAATGCAGCCGCCAAAGCCGGGATTCGATCCCGCGACCTGCGGGTCAGCAGCCGAGTATACTTAGCCACTAGACTACCGCGGCGGGGCTAAGGAGTGCGCATAAGAAGTCAGGGGTACAGTCGGCGGACACCGGCAAGCTATCTCCGGAGACGAAAAACCCCATTAGAATACATCAAACCATGAAAACATCAAATACAACAGACAAAATCCAGCTGGTGGAGCTTTTGAAGTTATTCAGTTGGCGTAAGGTAGCCGATATAAGAAGGTATAACATGAACAGAATCGAGCATGCTGTAAAGAGCGGGAGAAGCCTGAAGTCCGTGAAGGCGGAACTCAGCGTCAAAGGAAACCCGAACAGCGGCAAGCATTCGCGATGGTGTATACTGCGTGCTGTCCAGCTATCACCACGGACAGGCACGCATAAATGCGCGCAGCTGCCGAACAGTATGTGCGTGCCTGCGAACATTGATAACTGGACGGCACGAACTACACTGTCGCGAAGGCTTGCCGCTGTTCGGATTTGATTCGACACTGATAGTACATAGGCAAAAACCAGATGTATAAATTAAGGGACAAGGAAGGCAAAGTCACAACCAATATAATAGTTGAGGTAGCGAAAAAGTTTTACAGAAATCTTCACATCAGCCGATACAAGCAGAATGATATCGTAAGAATCAATAATAGCATAAGGAAATGTGACATGGTACCAGATGACAAAGGAAGTAAAGAAAGCCCTAGATAGAATGCAAAGAAGCAAAGTTACTGGTGAAGTTAAAGTCCCATCAGACCTGTTAAAAGCATGGTGGAGAGACTGTGTTAGAAAAACTGGCCGCTCTGCATACGAAGCGTCTCTTGACTATGAGGGTACCAGTATATTGAAAGAGTAATCATCATCGTCATGATCATCATCATCATCATCCTGACTACGCTCACAGCAGGAAAAAGGCCTCTCCCATGTTCCGTCAGTCAACTCGGTCCTGTGCTTGCTGCGGCCACTTTATACCCGCAAACTTGCCGATCTCATCTGCCCACCTAACTTTCCGTGTCCCCCTGAACCGCTTGCCTTCTCTTGGAATCCGGCCATTTCCCCTAATGACCAGCAAGAATGTCAGCATCTTTATCCACAAGAAAGGAAGCGCCAAATAAGTGAAAAATTACAGGCCGATCAGCTTACTTTCCATAGCCTACAAGCTATTCATAAAAATAATAGCTAATAGAGTTAAGGCGACATTAGAGTCTAATCAACCAAATGAGCAAGCCGGATTTTGTACAAGCTACTGAACGATATACCATATTCATAATTACTATCAATCAGGTGAAAAAGAAATCCCATTTGCGTTGCCTTCATGGAATACGAGAAGACATTTGATTTGGTTGAGATAATAGCAGTAATACAGGCACTGTGGAATCAGGCCATCGACGAAGCTTATACAAGCATACCAGCATAAATCAACAACACATCTATAGCCGCCCTAGTCCTCCATAAAAAGAGCAATAGCATTCCAATAAAGAAGGGTGTCAGGCCGGGGGACAAGATCTCTCCACTGATAATAACTGCCTGCTTTCAGGTGGTTTTCAGGGCCTTTTTGGTTGGGAAGAGGTAGAGATACGAGTAAATGAGGAGTATCTTCGTAACCTGCGATTCGCTGATGACATTGCGTTCGCGAGTGAAACTTGGGAGACGAACTACAGCTTATGATAACTGAACTGCACGCGGAAAGTGGAAGAGTCGGTGTCAAAATTAATATGCATAAAACTAAAGTAATGTGCAAAAGCCTCGGCAGAGAACAGTGCTTCGCGATAGGTGGTATTCCTAACCTTCCGATATCCTGCTGATATGCTTTCGATGATATCCCTCCGATATCCTTCAGATTCCTGCCTGACTGATCTCAGCCAACTTTCTGTTGTTTAGAGCTAAAATAGGCACTGTCAATTTGTGTTTTGTTTCTATTTTTATGTAATATTTTGCCATGTTGACTTTTA